TACAGTCTTGGCTGGAATGTTCCATGAGTTTGTAAGTATCTCAGGTTGTTGGTATACGTCTCTTGAATGATATTAAATTTGATCACCCTACCAAGGAGTTGTCTAATTTCTTTTCTATATTATTGTCTTTTTCCTCCTTGCAGTGAATGAATATTCTGGGAGATTCTTTAAAGCCATGCATATCATTGGCATCTTAAAGAATTATTGCAAGAATAGTATGAAAATTTTTTTATACAAAAAAAAACTAGCCTTTACTGTGACAGTTACATCATCAAAATTTTCTAATCCTACCACTCGTCCTCCTTTCCACCATTTTTTCATTCATTAATCTTTTGGCCATCAGTAGAGACTTAGACATTCCTATTTTATTCAATAGATTATAATTCATTATGGTATGTTTATAGTGATGCCCAGTTTGTCCCAGATTTTGCCAGTGGGAGCCAATTTGGGCTGGCTCCTGTGTTCTCTTGACACATTACTTATAAGCACTTTACTTTCTGGCACAACAAAATGTTCCAAGCTCATCTTATGTCTCTCCTGCCGACTGCTGGAATCAGCCATTTCTTCAAGGAGCCCCAGTTCCTTTTGATGGGGAGTGGTTTGGGCACTGAATTGGGGATACTAAGAGCCATAGCTTCTAGTAGCTTAGAAAGACAAAGATGTTACATGTGTGTGTTCCAGTGTGTACAGTTTCTGAAAATTGCAAGTTAATATTGATACCCCACAGAGTTCTATCTTGCCTCTCCTGCCTTGTCCCATTTCACATTTGTGTTTCTTCTTCCACAGTGAAAACTGTAACTTTCAACACATCAACACATTGACTCATTCCTTCATTCCTATGATACACATCCAGTTGACTCACATTCTACCATGTCCCTGTGAAAAACAGGTTTACTAACAGAAACACCATATTTATTGGTCTTTTTCCCCTACCAACATTATGTAGCCAAAGGTAGTCTTCTGGCATGGGCAATATGCGGTCAGAGAACAAGGATTCCAAAGTTACTGGATTGTTCTTCCACTTCTGTTCCCAGAGTGGTTATTTTATTAATTTAAAATACAGTTTGAGTCATCTGTTTCCATTTGCATTCAGAGTTAAGTTTGTTTTGTTTGAACATTGTAAAATTTTTTTGGCAGGAGGGTACCAGGGATTGAACTCAAGGGCACTCGACCACTGAGCCACATCCCCAGCCCTATTTTTATATTTTATTTAGAGACAGGATCTCACTGAGTTGCTTAGCATCTCACTTTTGCTGAGGCTGGCTTTGAACTCACGATCCTCCTGCCTCAGCTTCCCGAGCCGCTGGGATTAAAGACATGTCTCACCACACCCAGCTTGGTGATTTTTTAATATATATGTAGAACATCAATGTGGTTCTTTCTTCCCCTACCTCCTATAAGTAGCCATTTTCATTATTTTTTGCAGTATTTCTTTTTCTTCTTCTTTTTTTCTTTTTTACAAAAACAGAAAAAATACATGCACGAATTTTCACTTTTTTCTTAAGAAAGCCACTGTATAGACTTTTTTGCTTTTTGCTTTTTTTCACTTAACTATATTCTGTAAGTCATTTCATATCAATTCATTGCACTCATTATTCTCATTCTTTTTCACATGGGGCCATTGTATGTGTATATTGTAGTTTACTCAGTCAATTTCCTGTATTTGGGTATTTGGATCAGTTCCTGTATTTTGCAAATATAAATAATGCTGTAGTGAGTAACGCTGTACATGTATATTTTCATATTTGTGGAAGATTATCATCAAGATAAATCATGAGAAGTAGGGTTGCTTGGTGGAGGGATAAATGTATGCATATTTAGGTTGAGTATTGCCAAATTCCCTACCACAGGGGTGGTATCATGTTGCATTCCCACTAACTATGGCCAAGAGTTCCAGAGTTACCCCACAGCCTCATCAGTGTGGTAGATGAGAAATGATATCTCAGTGTGATTCTAATTGACATTTCTCCTATTATGAAAAAAGTCAAACATCTTTTCATCGATATGAAAGCTGGTGTGCCTCTTCAGTGAATTGGCTTTACATTTCTTTTGCTGGCTTTTCTACAGCACTTTTGGCCCTCATTTTTAAAAAGGTTCTTATACATTGGAGATACTTGCTCTTTGTGCTATATTTTGCAGATGCTTTTTGCCAGTCTGAAGTTTAACTTTTGACTTTGCTTCTCTTGTTTCTGGCTATCCCAAAAATATTTTAGTCAGAAAAATCACAAGTGAGGGCTTTTGTTCTCAGATGTGGACATTTATGATAAAAGCATAGAATTTTAAGCAATATAATTATGATGGAAAAATAGATCACTAGGATAAATGACCTCAAAATAGATGCAAGTATATATAAACATAAAGTGTATGTGTTTAATGAATTTAGCATAGATTAAAAAGTGACACTTCAGATCAGTGATGAAAGGGATGGTTATTTAGGAAGTATACCAGCCTTCAAACTGTTTAGAAATAAAGTTAAATCCCGACTTTAAACAGTCCACCAAAGAAAATTCAGTTAAATAAATTTAATAGTTAACAAATGAAACCATCAAAGTACTAGGAGAAAATATTGGTAATTATATAAGCATTTCTCAACTTCTCAACTCAACTGTTTAAGTTTTGAACTGAATAATTCTTTGCCATGGGAAGATAAAAAATTCAAAATATAGACTTGACTTTTCAAATTAGTCAATATGAAATAAACTTACTCGAATTTGGGGAGTTAGGTACTATCATCAACTGATACAAGTATAAATAAATATAACATTGAAATGCAATAGACAATACATGTTATACCTTTCCTGTATATACTTAGCTTTTGTCCGTGCATTTTTACTTATGGTACCTTATCCTTTGGAAATAACTGGAATTTCATTACTATACTATTTATAATTGCTAAATATTGGAAAAACCCCATCTGTCCAATAATACATATATATACATTCATATATGAATACATTATATATGAATTACACAAACATATATATTATCACTGCTATAATCAATGAAGTATATACACATGGAAAATGGACAGATTGTAGTTAGAAACTCAGGTAATAAAATTATGTGTATGTGTATTTATCTCTGAAATAGTAGATACCATTTCTTTTTTCTATTTATATAAAAATTTTGATAGATTATATGCAAGAGAGTATAGAATTTTTAATTGTTGTATTTGTATTTCTGACTTTTCCACTGAACATGAATAGTTTAAATAATTAAAATAATTTAATGAGGGCTGGAATTGTGGCTCAGCAGTAGAGTACTCACTTATCACGTGAGAAGCCCTGGGTTCAATCCTCAGCACCATAAATAAATAAATAAATAAATAAATAAATAAATAAATAAATAAATAAATAAGTCCAGCTATAACTAGGAAATAAAGTATTAAAAGATTTTTAATGGAGGGCTGGGGATGTGGCTTAAGCAGTAACACGCTTGCCTGGCATGCTCGGGGCACTGGGTTTGATCCTCAGCACCACATAAAAATAAAATAAAGATGTTGTGTCCACCGAAAACTGAAAAATAAATATTAAAAATTCTCTCTCTTTTCTCTCTCTCTCTCTCTCTTTAAAAAAATTTTTAATGGAGAAATAAAACATTTTTTATGGGCTAGGATTGTAGCTCAGTGGTGGAGTGCTTGCCTAACTAGCATAAATGAGACCCTGGGTTCTATCCCCAGAACCACACATTTAAAAAAAAAAAAAAAAAGAAGAAGAAGAAGAAGTTTTTTAATCCTTTGTCTCAATTCCAAATTTTTAAAAAGTTAGAAAATTTTTAAAAGTAAAACAGTAGTAAATTGTTAAGTAATTTTTAAAAATTTCTGCAGTGGTGTTCATGAAGAAATTATTTACAACTAAAAAAGATAGATAATGTTCCATAATAATTTTGCATATGATAGACTACTCTGCATGTGTAAGGAGAAAAGGGGTATTTTTTTCTTTTTTTATTTATATATGACAGCAGAATGCATTACAATTCTTATTATACATATAGAGCACAATTTTTCTTATCTCTGGTTACATACACAGTATATTCACATCAATTTGTGTCTTCATACCTTTACTTTAGATAACAATGATCATTACATTCCACCATCATTGATGACCCCATGCACCCCTTCTCCTCCAACCCCTCTGCCCTATCTAGAGTTCATCTATTCCTCCCATGCTCCCGCTCCCTAGCCCACTATGAGTCAACCTGCTTATATCAAAGAAAACATCTGGCATTTGGTTTTTTGGGATTGGCTATCTTCACTTAGCATTATCTTCTCTATCTCCATCCATTTACCTGCAAATGCCATGATTTTTTTCTCTTTTATTGCTGAGTAATATTCTGTTGTGTATATATGCCACAACTTTTTTATCAATTCATCTATTGAAGGGCATCTAGGTTGGCTCCACAGTTTAGCTATTGTGAATTGTGCTGCTATAAACATTGATGTGGCTGTGTCCCTGTAGTATGCTGTTTTTAAGTCCTTTGGGTATAGACCAAGGAAAAGGATACCTGGGTCAAATGGTGGTTCCATTCCCAATTTTCCAAGAAATCTTCATACTACTTTCCATATTGGCTGCACCAATTTGCTGTCCCAGCAGCAGTGTATGAGTGTACCTTTCCCCCCACATCCTCGCCAACACTTATTGTTGTTTATATGCATAACAGCTGCCATTCTGACTGAAGTAAGATGAAATCTGAAGAGTGGTTTTGATTTGCATTTCTCTAATGGCTAGTGATGATGAACAGAAAAGGGGTATTTAAAAATATAAACCAATATTATCTTGGTGAAAAGTGGTACTTGTCAATCATCTAAATATTGACCATCCAAAAATGAAATTACAAAACATTATAAAGGAAACTGTCTAAATTTGGTATTAAAGCACAGTATTTGTGTGTGTGTGTGTGGTGTGTGTGTGTGTGTGTGTGTTTGTATCATGATGGAAGATTCTTTACTTATTTGTATGAATATACTAAAGAAAACCATCCTGAAATTTGATTTGTCATAGGTGGCTTCAGGAGAGTGCAACGAGGACACTGAAGTCTACAACATCACCCTGTGTACTGGGGATGAACTCACTCTAATGGGTCAGGCAGAAATCCTTTATGCAAAGACTTTCAAGGAAAAGTCACGACTTAACACCATCTTCAAAAAGATTGGGAAGCTCAATTCCATCAGCAAACTGGGAAAAGGCAAAATGCCATGCCTCATTTGCATGAATCACAGGACCAACGAAAGCATCAGCCTTCCATTCCAATGCAAGGGCAGATTCAGCACCCGAAGCCCCCTGGAGCTTCAGATGCAGGAAGGGGAACACACCATCCGCAACATTGTGGAGAAAACCAGGCTTCCTGTGAACGTGACTGTTCCAAGTCCTCCACCCAGAAACCCTTACGACCTTCACTTCATCCGAGAGGGGCACCGCTACAAGTTTGTGAACATCCAGACCAAGACGGTGGTGGTTTGCTGCGTGCTGCGGAACAACAAGATCCTCCCCATGCACTTCCCTTTGCACTTGACCGTCCCCAAGTTCAGCCTCCCAGAACACCTGGTAAAGGGAGAGGTATGGCCTGAAACCCTGGTCCATCACTGGCTGGGTATCTGTCAAGAGCAGTTTGACATTGATGAGTATTCACGGGCCGTCCGGGATGTGAAGACTGACTGGAATGAGGACTGCAAGAGCCCCAAGAAGGGCCGGTGCTCTGGCCACAACCACGTGCCCAATTCCCTCAGCTATGCCCGGGATGAGCTCACCCAGTCCTTCCACCGGCTCTCAGTCTGTGTGTATGGCAACAATCTCCATGGCAACAGTGAAGTGAACCTTCACGGCTGCAGGGACCTGGGGGGAGACTGGGCCCCCTTTCCTCATGACATCCTGCCCTATCAGGACTCTGGTGACAGTGGGAGTGACTACCTTTTCCCAGAAGCTAGCGAAGAATCAGCAGGTGTCCCAGGGAAGTCAGAACTTCCTTATGAAGAGCTGTGGCTGGAGGAAGGCAAGCCTGTCCGTCAGCCTCTCACGCGCTCTCTGAGTGAGAAGAGCAGATGTGACCCTTCGAGAGGATCTGCCCGGTCCAAGTGCGCCACTTCTCCTCTTCCTGTCCCTGAGACTCTGGGAGCCACAATGAAGTCTTCAGAAATCGCCCTACCTCCACCTCCAGTGCCTCCCAAGTCTGAAGCCGTAAGTTGTCTCTGTGAGTGGTGTGCTGCCCTCCGTGTCTCTCTGCATGGTCATCTACTCATCCATTTTCTTTAAAAAAGGAAAACTTCCCAACGGAAGGTGATCCGAATGAACAAATTTGTTTGACTTGGCCATGAAATATAGTTGTTAGCTAGATCATCTCACTTGTTAAAGTTGTACTCTGTGTTGGATGAAAAATTCTCCACAAGTTTTTCACGGGAGGCTGAGGCAGGAGGATCACAAAGCCAGCCTCCGAGACCCTGTCTCTAAATAAAATGCAAAATAGGGCTGAGGATATGGCTTAATGGCCAAGTGCCTCTGAGTTCAATCCCCAGTACCTACCCCATCCCACGTGACCCCCACAAAAGAAGGAGACATTTAAAACTTTCGCTGCTGTCTAGAAAACAGATTATGGGGAGGAGAGAATAGAAGCTAGGAGACCAGGGAAGAGACAGTTAAAGTGACAGAGGTATGAGGTGATGATGCCTGGCCCAGAGCAGCTGGTACAGTGGGTGGCAGGGAGAGATGAGCTGCACTGGAATATGGCTCAGAGGTAGGCCAGCAGTGTTCACTGATGAAGCAGCAGTGGGAATGAAGGAAAGCAGCAAACCCCTAGCTTCTATTTTAGTCAGCTTTTTCTCTGCTGTGATTAAAAAACCCGACCAGCACAATTGTAGAGAAGGAAAAGTATATTTGAGGGCTCACGGTTTCAGAGGTCTTAGTCCGTAGAAGGCTGACTCCATTCCTCGTGGCTCAAGGTGAGGCCGAACATCATGGTGGGAGAGTGTGGCAGAGGGAACCAGCTTACATGATGATAAGAAAGCAGAGAGAGAGACCCCACTCTCCAGGTACAAAATATATACCCCATAGCCACGCCCCCCACGGAGCCACATCTACCAGCCACACCCCACCTGCCTGCAGTCACCACATAGTTAATCCCATCAGGGATCAATTCACTTTTTAGGTTAAGGATATAACCCAGTACTTGCATTGTCTCACATGTGAGTTTTGGGGGGACACCACATCTAGACCATAACGGATTCTTAACCATAGCAACAGAGTAGATACTTGCCATGTATATAGTACAGGAAAGATTGAAAGAGGAGAACATTGATTGGAGGCAAAGGGGAATCAGGAGGCGTTGGCATCCCTCATGACTCTTCTGTATCTCTGAAACTGCATTGAGATCAATGCATGGAGTGTGCACACTGGAACCAGGTGATTCTAAACACCTTAAACATAACTCAAAGCTTGGTGGGGCTGGGGGTATAGCTCAGTGGTGGAATGCATGCTTATCAGGCAGGCATAAGAACCCCAGGTTCAGTTCTCAACATCCACAAAAGAGGGGGTTCAGTACAAACAGGAAAAAGAGTCTTCTGTTTTGATCATGTTTTTGATTGACAGCCACTCTGAACCTCTGCTACTCATTTTTTGATCACTGAATTTCCTTTTATCTGAGGGGAGAAGTACTAGAGGCACTAGGTATAATTCTGTTCGTGTATTTGACAATATCTATTACAGTGGTTTCCTTTATTCTAGCTCTAGCAAAATCTTTTTTTAAAAAAAGATCCTACATAAATCCCAATCATAAGAATTAAATTTAAAACCCACCTGACTAAAGCACAGATTGAGAAAAGGCATTCTTTTTTGTGTCCCCACCCACTCTCTTCCCCCATCAGGTGTCTTGGGACAGCTCTCTGGACCCCTAGGTTATGCGGAACCCAGTTTCCAAATCATGGAGTTACTCGATTAGATGCTAGGAATACCTAGTCTAGTAAAACCTAGACTCTGAGCCCCTAGGACCTTTTAATTTTATGGAGAATGTAACAGACAAAAAGAGATGACTGTTATACAGGTTAAAAGACAAACAGTTTTTAAAGAGAGGGACACCGTGTGTGTTTGGGAATTCAGAGGACAGAGAAAAACTTGTAGCTGGAAATGAAATAAAGAAACCTTCATGGGGATTCTGATATTTTAGTAAGTTTAGAGCGTATACATAGATTGAAAGAGCAGAGATGAGAAAGAAGAACATTTGGAGTAAAGAGTGAGCAAGGGTGTGCGAGCTGGGATACTTAAGCCCATGAGGGAATCAAGTTCTGTTGAATAGTGTTGGCTAGGTCCAAGAGGGTTAGATAAGGTTGGGTAGGGTTGGATAGGGTGGGTAAGTTTGGATAGGGTTGGATAAGGTTGGATAGAGTTAGAGAAGGTTGGGAAGGGTTGGATAAGGTTGGGTAGGATTGGATAAGTTTGGACAGGGTTGGATAGATTAGATGGAGTTGAATAAGTTTGGATAGGGTGCATGAAGGGCAGCAGTGACTGACAGGCTGGAGCCAGGACATAGACAGCCCTGAATGGTGGGCAGTAGTAGTTCATGCCAAGTGCCCTGCTTCTCTGTCCATACAGAGCCTTCACTTCTCCAAAGTTTTCTCAAGAGAGAATCCACCTCTGGTTCCCAGAAACTGCAGGTCTGGACTTTCCCATGCTCCTCTGGGATCTTCCAGGGACCCTAAGGCATAAGCACAGAGATCCCTGTATTCATTAGAGGTCATGGAATATTTGGGGAACTCTTGGTAGAACTAAGGTCCTCAATCCTTGTATTCATGTCAGAGGTCCCCTAATGGTGACTCCAAAAGACAGGTCAAAAGTAAAGGGACCCTCTCCTAGCAAGCACTGTAAGACCTTTAATGGCATGGAAATCCAGCTTATGTAGTTGATGTGATGTGAAGGTTCAGACTTTGATCTTTATTAGGAACATGACAGTGTGAGCTTTTCCTACTGAATCTTGGTCCTCCCTGGCATGTTGTGGGCCTCATATTTGTTGACTGACTGATGTCCTCATCCAAGGTGGTCCCACCCAGGATCACTTACATAGTCAAGTCTAGAGGTAGGAAATTAGCATCACTTGTTTTCTCAGTGGCTGATGAAAGAGGAGTAAGAACATAAATATTAAGAAGTCCAATCTTGACCTTGGTGCTAAAAGAAAAACACTAGAGTTAAATTTGAAGCTGATGCAGATTTCATAGGAAAAGAAAAGATTTTAGCCTCCAGTCTAAACTGTAATTTCTTATGATGTAAGAGAATCTTTTCAGAGTATGTCCAGTGTTTATAAAACACTATAAACATAAAATTTTTTATAAACACCTAAAATCATTTAATTTATTTTTAAAGAAAAAAAATGAAGCATTTTAAATTAAGTCATATTTTTTATTGGTTCTTTGACCATGAAATGAATTTTCCATTTTTAGGATGTGTGTGGGATCCAGAGAACGTCATAATTGTTAGATGTGGCTTCGGCTTGTAATTTTCAAAAGGGAACTTTAATGGGGCATAAATTCAAGTGCTCCCACAGAATTAAATAAAGAATCTGCCTCAGAGAGTTAGAATGCAGTGAGTCCTAGAAGAGACAGGCCTGTGTCTAACAGCCATCCCACCCAATAAGTAAAGGTAGTGGTGAGCTTTCAAGTGAGGCTGGGGGACATCACCTGGGAAGAGGACCACTCCCACCGGGTCCTTAGGAAGAGAAGGTGCTGGTGCAATGAAGAGTCAGAGAAGAGGTATCTTTCTTTCATCGTAAGTCTGCGTAAGCTGGCGACTGGTGAATGAACCGCCTCCTCATCCCAGCCTCATGGTTACAGTCTGGAGGCTCCCTGGCTGTGCAGAGGTGTCGGCTCCTGTCTCCCGGCTCCTCAACTCTTCACTTTCCGCTCCAGCATCCTAAGTTGTGACATGTTTATGCTCCTTCCCCAGCAGATTTTGATGGGTTTTGTTTCTTCCTGTGAAAGTGAGAATGAATCTCGATCGTGCTTGCCGTTTCCCACAGCGCAAAGTGCTGCAGCCCTGGAGGGTCTGCGTGGTTCTCCAGAATGCCTTCCCACTCACGTCTTACACAGGGAAGCTAGGCTGCAGAGCCAGAGCACCCTTAGTGGCAGAGGAATTGTTTGAGCCCTGTTCATGTATTTGGTTCACCACTTTGTATCTGTGGCTCTTTGGGATTACACGCTGGTCTCCTGTGTGCTTGTAAACGTTGTTTAATATAGATTTTTTTTTTTTTAGAGAGAAAGCTCTGCCACTCACCTCTCTGTAGTATGAGAAGGTATTTCCTTCCTAACAGGAATGTCCTAGGGAAAAATAAACAGTTTCTGGTTCCAGGGGCAGAAGGGACACAGCCACTTGTATCCCCATACCTGCTGGGGCAGATGGCAGGGTAAGGGATCATGCCCAGCTCACTAAGTGTTGGCATTGCCTCTTCAAAACTTTGCAAGGAGCCCCCAGACTGGAATACCTGACAATCCCCCTTAAGTGGATTATCCTTATTGATCCATGTATTTATTCTAAATACAGCCTCCATTGCATAACATTGTGGGCCTTTATTCATCATTTTAATTTCTAGGTATTGACTGATATGTCTAAAACATTTACCCAGATATACTCTATAAGTGACAGTCTTCAGAATCTTTCTTTCCCCACCCCCTCTCTTTTTAGAAAATGCCATTTTGGAGAGCAGTGATAGGAACACTTTATACTACATGAAACTGCATGAAATTCTAAAAATAAAATGACTGCCGGAGTGCTGTGGTCTATGCAGTGAATTGCAAATGGTTATCGAAACTGTAGGTTGCAGTTCTTCTAAAGGCATTTGGGCAGCAGTATTCTACCAGGGACCCCAAATGCCAGTGATTAGTGTCCTCCATCTCTGGTAACAGGAATAATTATATTCACCTGTGGTTGGTTTTTGCCATTACAGTGATACCTGAGGCTGGTGAAAGGAAATTTATAAAAGGGGCTCTAGGCTGCAAACCACTCATGTCAACCAACTTATACTGCAATATTGATGAGTTTGTTAACCTTTGTGATCAATGACAGTGATGCCCTATGGTGTATGAGACACAGGGCATAGGTACTGAGCTCTGAGATAAATTGGTAGCATATATTCCTTATTAGGAGGCTGGAAGTCCATCATAAATAAAGTTCCCTTGATGAAGCACATTATGTTACTGGAG